TCACACACACACACACACACACACACACACACACACACACACACACGCACACACATGAAAAGGATCCAAATAAATTCAAATGGATTTTTAATATAGCTCTCAAAGCTAGATAACTTAGTGCTTCATGAAAAAGAGCTCCACTGCCGGACGGACAATAAAGCAGTTGGTCCTCGAGAAAATCCAGTGAAAATACTAAAATACTACTCAAGGTACGCAACTCTTTTAATGAGCGATAATAGGAAACTGAGTTATTTTTCTTGTTTATCAACATTATTGTAAAACATCAAAGACGAGGACTTTTGTTGAGCATGCCTAGCCTACACTGATTTTTCTGGTACAGAGAACTACCCTGTGGGTGGTTGGCGGGTGCTCTGGTGTGGCTTGCTTCTTCTTTCCTGTCAAACATCTATCGTCCTTAACTCCCTTTCTTCTTTTTATGTTTGTTACTCTCTTGTAACACCTCTAATCTTCTTGTGCTCATATGACCTTATGCAGTTGCGAGTGCCGTAAAACCTCTACTAAAACTAAACTAGAACTGCCCTGTGATCCTGGTATTATGTTATGTGGCCTTAGATGAGCTATATTCGATTCGATACACGAGTACCATTGACGTCAAAGGGAATGTAACTGGTAATTTCATAGGTTAACTCCCCTTCACCACAAATGTTACTTTAAAGGCGGGGCTTCAGAGTTAATTTATCTATGATAGGACCTAGAAGCCCATCATAACAGTAAAAACACTAACACTGAGCTCATGGCACTCCTTGTGAGGAGGAGTTGGAGTACATAATACCATTAATTGAAAAATATAAGTGAACATCCGCAAGTGATACTTTATAAAGGCGTAACCTAGACAAAATTACTCGTCGAAGTGGAAGTGGAAGTTTTAGAAAATTGAAAGTTAATAAGTAGTTCGGAGACATTGGACATTGTGGAAAAAAATCAGTGGTCTGAAAAGCATGGTGCTTGAGAGGGAAAGAAAGCGTGCATACATGAATCTGTTCGGAACCAGGGCAGTTTTTGCCTTCATTTGGGATAGATCTAGTTGTGGAATATGTATAGAGCATATGTTTTAAAAGCGGCACGCAAAGATGTAAGACGTACAAATGCATTATTAAACTTAAAGTAAGATAAACATCATGTGTACATAAGTTACATGCATTTAAAACAAAACATACAGAAATATAATATAGTATCTCATTTTGAAATAATGATGGAGGAGGGAAATGTGTTGGGTTGTTGTTGTTTTTTAATCTGACCAGCCCCGTGAAATTAAAAATTCAAATATAGAAAATTGACTTTAAACAACAAGTACACAAACTGATGGCAAATGTATTAGTGCAGTTACATCCTAGAACACTTGATAGGAACAATTAATAAGCATTATATAAAAGTTTTATGACTTATGAGCTTTTCAGAACTTTCGTATTGCAGTTATAAATATAGTAACATCCGCTTTCTTTGTTTGTCAGTAATTCGGTCCCCCCAGATTATGCACAAAGCTCTTTGACCACTCAAAGTAGACTCGCGAACGTGTAATCTTCGGTCTAGGGAATTAAACCAACATTATATTTACTATACTTATTTTGTCGAACAAAGTTTCGGAGTCAGTTCCCTTGATGTTACCTACCAAAGAGCTGCAAAGATTTCCATTTTGCCGGGTCCCAAGCAGCGGCACGTCGTCAACAGTTGTTCGTCATAATGTCGTACTCGGGGACCCAGCGACTTCTCAATGATAAGAGTAAAGTAAAGTTGTTCCCGCATCCGATCCGGACATTGGGGATTTCCTTGTTAATGGGACAAACTTCCTGAGCCTTTGGCATATTATTATGGTAGGGTGGCCAGTTCCTTTCCACGCTGCCTTTATTTCCCCACCTCGAAGTCAGGTACCCATTACTGCTGGGTGGGCAGGTTGGGG